TTACAGTGATCCTCCTGCCTCAGCCTCCTGAGTGCTGGGATTACAGGAATACCTCACCAAGCCTGGCTTCAGCTACTTTTTTTTTTTTTTTTTTGGTGGTATCAAGAATTGAACTCATGAATGACCTCACGCTTGCAAGGCAGGTGCTGTGCCACTGAGCTATATTCCTGGCCTTCAGCTACTTCTTTGTTTTGTTTCATTTTTATTTTTTTGTTTTTTGAGACAGGATGTTGCTATGTAGTTCAGGCTGGCCTTGAACTCAGAATGTAGCCCAGACTGGACTCAAACTTGTGGCAGTCCTCCTCCCAAGTGCTAGGATTACAAGTATGCACCACCAAATAGCAGTTTTCAGCTATTTAATTCATCTTTATTAGCAGGTATAAATTGTACAGACTGAAAGGGTTCAGTGTGATATTTGTATATAGCATGCATTGATCAAATCCAACCTCCCATTTTCCAGCCCTGCCCCGATCCTCAGCTGTTTAATTCCGATTATCGGCCTTGAGCCATCTTTCTTTGTGTTTATCCTGATTAGAGTTCACTGAGCTTTGATCTGTAAGTAGAATTTTCATCAAATCTGAAAAAAAAAAATATGGTCATTATTTCTTCAATTTTTTTTTTTTAATCTAGTTTCTCCTGTCCTAATAAAACATTTGTTAGGCTACTTGATATTGTTCAATAGGTCACTAAGGGTTTGTTCACTTCTTTTTTCCTAGCCTTTCCTCCCTCTGCTCTTCTGTTTGTATAGTTTCTGTTGTCTTACCATCAAGTCCAATGATCTGTAGTTTCTAAGCTCTGGTCAAACTATTTCACCCATCACATGTTTTCATTTCACATGTTTGCATTTCAGTTCAAAAGTTCCCATTTTGTTTTTTGTTGTTGTTGCTTTTGTTTTGTTTTGAGATAGGGTCTCACTGTATAGTGCAGGCTGGCCTTGAACTTACTATGTAGCCCAGGCTGGCCTCGAACTTGCAGTGATCCTCCTGCCTCAGCCTCCTGAGTGCTGGGATTACAGGCATGCCTTACTGCACCAGCTCCATTTAGTTCTTTTTTCATAGTTTTCATTTCTTTGAGATGCATTATATTTTCCTTTAAATAACACACACACACACACACACACACACACACACACAGATAGAGATATATATTTTATACTGGAATTGAACTCAGGGCCTTGTGCTTGCCGGGCAGGTACTATACTGCTGAGCTATATCCCCAGTCCAAATACTTGTATTTTAAAATATATATTTGTAATAATTACTTTAAAATCCTGGTCTGTTAATACTGTCATCTCTGCCATTTTGGTTCTGGTTGTTTCCCTTGATTTTCCTCCTGTTTAAGGGTTGCATTTTCATGCTGCTTCACATGTCTAGCAACTTTTAATTTCATGCTAGATGCTGTGAATGCTATATTATTGAAGGCTGGATTTTGTTATTTTCCTTTAAAGAGTGTTGATTTTTGTTCTGATAGTGAATTTACTTGAAAATTAATTTGAAGCTTAAGTTTTGTTAGCTCTTTCAGGAGTAGTCTAGAGTAGCCTTTATTCAGCAGCTAGTTTAGCCTTATTTTTAAAGCGGTGTTTTGGGGGAGGGCGGTTCTGAATGCTCTGGGTATGGATTAAGATCTCTTTACTGTGGTAGGAACTTGAGTGGTCTCCTACCCTAAATGAATGCTAGCAACTCTTCAGCTCTCAGCTTCCCAACCATTGTTTCCCCAAAAGCTGTCTTGCTTGGCATGAGGAGACTAGGCCTGAGCATATGCACCTCAGCATTCAGCCAGAGACTGGAACTCACGCAGATTTCTACAGCCCCTTCCCTGAGGAGTGACTTCCTCTCCATTACTCTGACCTGCAGATCCCTGCTACTTTACCTAATCTGTCTCTCTGGCCTAGTAGCAAATGCTGTGCTGTGCTACACATTGGAAAAGTGCCTTGAGGTAGAAAGCCCATGTGTCTTGAGGCCCACAGCAATTGTTTTCCTTTTCTTAGAGCTCACAGTCCAGCAATGTTTATTGTCCAAAGTCTGAAAACAGCTCATATTTGTGTCGTGGTTTATAGTTACTTATGCTGGAATTTGTAGTCTAGCATTTGACTTCTTTACAGCAGTGGTTATCACATGGAATTGGTATTTGGAAGTATAGTACAGTGCCCTCCCTGAATGGGTGTAGAAATAGGCAGGGACATTTTAAGTTATCACAACAGCTAGAGGCTGCTGTCGCTTAGAGACCAGTGGCTGGGGGTGCTGAACATCCTCTCAAAGAGTGAGATGCTCCAGCCGGCCAAGAATTACTTTGCTGAAAATGCAAGTTGCATGCCTGTCAAGAGCCCATCTCAGGGAACACCTTTCTCTTGGTGGTGCTTCCTGCGGGCCTCTCTCCACCATCCCTTCGTCCTTGTTGATTCTCTCAATGTCGGGTTCGGTGTTCACAGCCCTTTGTCAGGGAGAGCCTTCCCCACTCTCGTGAGGTAAGGGGGCCCAGGGTGGTCTTCTATAAACTTTTGCTTATTGCCACTTCCTCTACCCCAATTACCCCTTGTCTCGTACTTACTAGAGATTCAGCATCCTTAATCCAGAAATCTGAAATCCGAAGTGCTCCAAAACTTGAAACATCTTGGAAGTGGAAAATTCCACACTTGACCTTCTATGATGGGTCGCAGTCAAAAAGCAGGTGTACTAAAAATATTTTGTAAAATGCCCTTCCCCCTATGTGTATAAGGTCAAATGAAACAAAAATGAATTTTGTGTTTAAACTTGGATCTCAACCCCAAGATACCTCATGATGGGTATGTAACTATTCCAAAATCCAAAAAAATACCTGAAACCTGAAACATTTCTGGTCCCAGCCATTTTGGATAAGGGACAGTCAGCCTACTTACTCGTTAATCCGGGCATACAGTAGATGTGTAATAAATATTTGTTGAAAGGCTATCTGAATAAGTGATGGCTAAATCTTCGTGGCGGGCAGTCATAGGTTAGATGACCGGGACACTGCTGTCACGGGCTGGTGACGGGATATGGGAACAACACTACCAGACACTCATGCTGTCACATTGAGCAGGGTGCTTTCTGTTTGTGACTAAAGTACCAGAAGGTGCCGCTCCCCCAAGGCTGTTAGGATAGCTTCGTGCCTGCTCCTGTACAAGGGTTGGTGTGTATAGCCTGGGACTGGTTGGAGGCTCAGGAGACGGGTGGGCGGGCGTGGGGGCGGCGAAGTGTTCACACCTCTCTGCCCCCTCTCTTGCTGGCTGTGTTCCCTGTGAGGTGTGGTGGATGCAAACTTCAGGTTTCCCCTGGGCTGGAACCTCAGCCAGAGAGTGTGGGAGCCCGCGTCCTTCCATGGGGTACGCTCAGCCACCTCCCTTCCGCTGCCTCCGATTTGACTTAATGTGCCCGACCTCAGATGGCCTCATGTACTGCTGTAACCTTGACATCCCGGAGCGAGTGGCCCTGAAGCTCGACCAGACACTCCCCTTCAGCCTCATGAGGAGGATACCCATGTTCAAGTACGTCTCGGGGTCCTCGGCTGAGCGCAGGGCAGCCCAGAGCCGCAAGTAAGTTCCACAGCTCACCAGATTCTTAAACAGCTCCAGGGCTGGGAGAGGGTATGGCTGGGCCACCGTGGGTCAAAAAGGAAGAGGGGCTCAGAGATTTGGAAGTCGTTGCATACCTAGGACCTGAGGCTCAGTGGTAGAGTGCTTGTCTAGCATGCGTAAGGCTTTGGGTCTGATCCCCAGCACTGCGAATGAATGAATATGGATGCACAAGTGTCCTCAGCACTCTGGCTGCTGCCCCACTGTGTCTGAAGAAGGAACTCAGCTCTCTGCGGTCGCACTGGCCATGGCACAGAGCCTTGCTTAGAAACACAGGCCACCGACTGGCGAGGTTCCTTAGGATGGGGCCCAGGACCTCGGGTAGACGTTCTTGGCCTCCCAACAAGAGTGGGTGAGGTTCACTGTTTTGCATTCCTGCCCAAAGTGCCTGGCAGGCCTCCTGAGCTTTTGTTGAAGCCAAAAAGAACAGGGTTACCTGTGTTTCCAGGGACACAAGTCAAGAGCCCGGTCCAGACTCAGGTGTTCCACCTACAGGTGTTCCCAAGTTCAAGCCTAACCTGAGCGACTTCGAGACTTGGCAAGACCTTGACTCAAAATGAAAATAAAAAAAAGAGCAGTGCAGGGGGTCTGGGTTCAATCCCCAGTACCAGAAAAACAAATGAGAAAAGAAACTCACTAGGAAGTCCGAGTGCTTTGTCAGCACCCTTTCCTACCCTCAGCCCGCTGTGGGGTTCAGTTTTTCCCTTGGCGCTGCCCCGTTGCAGGTCTTGTTGACTGGAAAGCTGCCCCTCGAGTTCACTCCAGGAGGTGCCTATTCCCAGCTTTCCAGGGCCTTCTGAGCATTTTTTAAAAGCAGGGAGGGGTGCAGAGCAAACAGAAATGCAAACTAGCCATTTTGCTTCAGATTTCAGGCAAGTGATTCCTGGGTCTAACTGTGGAAGAGACTGCTCATGTGTAGAATGTTTTTGGGTTTTGATACTGGATCTCACTAAGGTACCCAGGCTGGTCTCCAATGTGCAATCCTGCCTCAGTCTCCTGAGTAGCCTGGGACCAAAGGTATGCACCACTGCACCCAGCTGTGGTGTTTAACTGTTGCAGAAACTTCAGAGGGCTTCAGGGGTTAAGGTGTAAGTCCAGCCTGGAAGGGATGCTCCCCGTGCCGCAGCTGAGCATGGTGACCCACCACAATTCATACTACTCGAGTAAGTTCATCCATGCTGTGTGACGCTCAGCCTCTCCGAGGCTGTGACCCCCTCATGCAAGCTGTGGTCCCGCCTCACCATGACAGGCCTGTGGGCAGAGGGAGGTGGCGGCCTTCTGTTCCTGCTTCGTTCCTCAGGGCTGGTGTCTGGTCCCTACTGCACCTGCTGCAGACACAGAATGGAAGCTACCGTTTCCAGCGGCCGACAGTGCATCACAGGTGGCTTTCCGATGCACATGTATATTTTGACTTTGAGGTGGCCATTTGCACGGTTGTGTATCCCTGGTTGCTCTTTTTGAGGAATACGTATTTTGTTTTGCTTTTTTGGGGTGCTTTGACTGAACCCAGCACCCAGCACATGCTAGACAAGTATTATATCTCTGATTATGCTCTTAGCCCTGAGATTTTTTTTTAATTCTGGAAGTGGTGTATGATGTGCTCTGTACCTGGACTTTAGCAGCCGGGCTGTAAGGTTCAGGTTTAATTGAAGTGAGTGCAGCTGGGTGGGGTGGCACACACCTATAATCTCAGCACTTGGGAGGCTGAAGCAGGAGGATCACCTTGAATTTGAGGCCAGCCTGGGTTACATAGAGAGCTCCAGGCCAACCTGAACTACATAGTGAGACCCTGTCTCAAAAACACGTATCTGCCACAAACACTGGTGGTATTTACAGCCACTTGCAACATTTGGAACTTCACGTAAGAGTTCAGAGGCCAAGCTGAACATGGTGGTACATACCTGTAATATCAGCTACTTGGGAGGTTGAGGCAGGAAGATCACAAGTTTGGGGCCAGCCCTGACAATTCAGTGAGACCCTGTCTTCAAATTAAAAGGGCTGGGGCTGTAGCTCAATAGAACTGCAAAAAAAAAAAAAAAAAAAAAAAAAAAAAAATTCAGAGCACAAACCCAGTAGCAGGTCCCCGTTTGTATTCCCTGCCACGTGGTCTGTGGTGGGATCTTTAGCTTCCATCTGCCGTGCTGGTTCCTACCAGCCAACAGGTCCTCACTCCTGAGGCCAGGTAGGAAATTTCACACCACACGTGTGGACGTTAGATCGCACGCGAGTGAGACACTGCCCCTGCCATGGGTGCTCTGCCTCTGGGACCCCCCCTGGCCCCTCTCCTGGTGGGTGAGTTGCCGGGTGGAAATCACACCTCGGGTGGCTTCCGGTTTCCGTCACAGGCCCCTTGACACTGCTGACTTGCTCTCTGGTTACTGTAATAGCAGTTCTGCAGTCCTGTGGTTTTCTTGGGTGGGATGACAGTGTGGCCCAGGTCAACTAGTTGAATGAATGACCACTTTTTTCTTGTTGCTTTCCAGGGTGAACACTGTACTCGGCTCCTACCCCACACAGAGCCGCCCCACCACCCAGATGCAGCATGCCAGTGGCCAGCAGCCAGCGCCCTGGCCGACCTGCGCTCCGGGGCACGTGCCCAGCCTGCCTCCATACCAGCCGGCCTCCGGCCTGTGTTACGTGCAGAGCCATTGTGGTCCAACCCCTGGCTCCTCCAGTGTCTACCCAGTTCCTTCGGGGACCTCCCTGGCGGTCCCCTCCGCCGCCCCCATCAGCTGCCCTGGCTCAGTGAACTCTGTGGTTCGGGGCCCTCCGGCACCTGCCAGCTCCCGGGAGGTGTGCACCGTCCGCATGCCCTGAGGGAGTCTCTGGGGAAAGTCAGCTCACAGCTTGGCCTTCTGAGCTAAGATTTTCTTTACAAAAAAATTGCTGAATACCTCTGTGCACCAGTCTGTGTTGGATACTTGGATACATGTCCCTGTTCCAGTCTCACTTTTGCTTACTGTCAGCTCAGTGAAGTACAGTTGCAGAAATGAGACATGCTGTGACAACGTGAAGCAGTGTGGTTCTAGTGCCCCCATGGGGGTTCTCCGCGCTGGCCCTGCGCATCTCACTGAGAACACAGGCGGAGGAGGAGAGAGGGTTGTCAGAGCTGCTGCTGACTTCTCCCCTTTCCTCCCAAGCAGTGCCCTTGGTTCTGTGGTGTCCATAAGCCTGTGCTGGGCAGCCCCAGGCCTGTGCCTTGTGTCACCTCCAGTCGCCCCTGTCCAGGAGTAGGACCTGCGGCAGCGTGCTGATGGTCCCTTGCTTTGATGCCTGTTGTGTAAAGGGCCTGTGGCACACAACTTCTTTGTGGCCTGGCTGGGAAGATGGTGTGGACGTGGACGTAGTGACAGCAAAGAGGAGACAGGAACAGGTCCAGGCCAACAGCGCATGCCCCGTGAGTCAGGAGAGGGCACCCAGCGTGGGGAGTGAGTGGCAAAGGTGCCAGGAGAGCCAGTGGGGCCAGAGAGTCGCACCCAGCTGGAGGCCTCCGCTGCCCCTAGGGAGGAAGGGTGTGGTCAGAGCTTGGGAGTGGGGTCCACGTAAAGAGCTGCTAACAGGACCATAGATGAAGAAGTAATGGCTCTGGCGCAGTATCACCGGAAGCGGGTGGGGGATTGTGTGTGAAGAGCCTGGGCGCCTCTGCCTGTTGACCCATCTATTGGGTCAGTGTCTCCCATCAGCCAGAGGAACCAGGAGCGAGGGGAGCCCAGGAAGTGTCACTGGGGGAGGGGGGTGGCGGTCCCTCCGGCGCAGAACAGGGCAAGGATAGCGTGTGACTCAGCTGATGCCTGGCCGGCCTCCAAGGATAGTGTGGCCCAGGTCGTAGCACTGGAGCTGCCCAGGCGTTCTGGAGGTGACACGTGGCCTGTGCTGCTTCAGGAGCCAGGTGGCCCACTGGAGCTGGCTGGCTGAGGTCCTTGGCATTCAGAGGTGGGTAAGACATCCGGCCCCAAACACAACCCCTGGTGAGGCAGGGCCGGGGACACGTACCCAGATGGCCTCTGGGACCTAAGCAAGATGTGTGTGGGGGCTGAGCAGGTGAGGGAAGGAGGGTGACACAGCCACTCCTGGTCTGAATTGGGAAATGGGGTTTTCAGCCAGGAGCCAGGTGCCCAGACAGCTGGGACGTGAGCACAGAGCAAGTCCAGCAGGGCCCACGGCTTGGGCTTTTGCCTCTGGCCACACCCAGCACTTGCATCACAGCCGCCCTTGGCGAGGGCAGGTAGCAGCACGTCCTGCATGTTCTCCCTCCAATCTGCTTCCCAGCCCTGTACCAAAAGCAGGAGCAAAGGGCACCTGGCCTAACATGGCAGGTGCAGTATGGGCCTTGGGGACCCTTGGTAGCAGAGCCGTGTAAGTCCCCAGGCCCTTCACCGGAGCTAGTCCCTACCCCACTGCCACCTCTGGCTTTGCTGCTGGGGCTTCGGAGAGGCAGATGAGTTGACAGCAGCTGCCAGCAGAGCCAGGCTCTGTGATGCCCTTGCTAGGTCTCTGTGCCCTGGAGTTCTTGGTCTGATCACAGTTCCCAAGCAGCCTGGAGCCGGGTCAGAGCGGGACCATCTCACCCCCACGTGCCCATCCGTGTGTGCAAACCATCGCTGTATCTGTGGGGCTGCCGGGCAAGTATTTGTCCAACAGGGAAGGTATAGGTGATTCCTGCCTCCGGGAGCTCAGTATAGTCAGGAAATGGACAAAGAATCATCATAGCTGGGCATGGTGGTGCACACCTGTGCTTCCAGCACTTGGGGGGCTGAGGCAGGAGGATTGCCTCGAGTGAGGCCAGCCCAACTACATAGCAAGACCCTGTCTCAAAAAAAAACAAATGGTGATAACACTTCAGAGCCGGAGGTCTGGGGATGGAGGGAGATGCTGACTTTGACCTCCGCTCATTCCGCTTAAGGGGAAGCCTGCCAGACTTCCTACACAAGGGAAACCCCCCCCACACCACCCCCAGCGGGCACGACACCCCGCAGCCAGAGAAGCTTTCAGACTTTGTCACTTTCCCTACTCTGCCAGCTGAGGGTAGCAGAGAAGCAGCACCGCGCTCTGCAACCGCCATGAGCTCTTCTCCGGGGCCACTCGGGCAGGATTCACAGCCTGCAGGGGGAGCTGACTTGCAGCTGACCTGAGGTTAGCACTGTAAGAGCCCTGTACTCTCAGCCTCACACTTGTTTGTTCATGCATCACTGTTTCATTTAACAAACATTTCGCGAGCAGCCACGTGAGTTCAAGGCCCGGGCAAGGTCTGTGGACACGCAAATCAGAAAGAATAAGCAGCGTGCCTGTAATCCCAGCACTGGGGAGACTGAGGCAGGAGGATTGCTGCAAGTTCATTGGTTTCGAAGGGACCCACGCAGGAAGGACCCCAGGATAGAGTCTCCAGGCATGGGTTGCAGGAAGGAGGAAAGCCAGTAGGCAGGGCTGGGAAGGAAGGGAGGAGGTAGGCAAGACACGGCCACAGTGATCCAAGCTGGAAGGGAAGAGACCCAGTCCAGGTCAGAGGGGCAGAAAGCAAAGCTAGTACGTAAAGTGACTCTGCGGTCACACAGGATGTGTGGCAGAGCTGAGACGGTGCCCACAGATTCTCCCCACCTGATGTCCAGGGCTCCGAGTCACACTCAGGTGACACCAGAAGGATGAGGTTCCTGCAGGCTCAGAACGTGGCCTTGGATTTGGGAGCTAGACCTTTGGGCTCTGGCACCTTTTAAGGCCACCTAAGCTCTGATATGTCGCTCTGTGCCTGGACAACTGCCAGCTGCAACAGAAGCACCCCAAGCTGGACCAGAAGCCTGGCTCCTGGGCATCCCCACACCACCCTCAGGATAGGTGACAGGCCACTGGGACCTTGCTCCACGGTCCTGTTTGGAGGTTAGGGACCCACACACACCTTGGCCACGATTTTCAGGGGTCTAAAGGCTGCATGCCAACCCTGTCCTGTGCCATGGCAAGTCACATGGCAAGCTGCCTCCTGAGCAGAACCCCTGCTCTCTGCCTCCGGGGCCAAGGGACAGAAGGGCCTGGGTCTCCTAGGTTGGAAAATCAGAGCTTTATTCCCCTAGAGCTCATGGGGACAGCCCTGGCCTTCCCAGTGCCCAGGGAAATCGGAAGCATACAAGGCTCTCGAATACACACATACATGTACATACACGTGCACACACATGCACATACCCTACACAGGCATACACAAACCCAACTAAGAGTATTTTGACCTCACAAATCTGATCCACACCCTTGCGTGCCAGTTTATGTCCAAACAAGTAGATTCCCACCCACCAAAACACGTCTAGCTGGGCGTGGTGGCACACACCTGTAATCCCACCACTTAGGAGTCTGAGGCAGGAGGATCACCATGGGCTCAAGGCCAACCTGGACTCCATAGTGAGTTCAAGGCCAGTCTGGACATGTAGCGAGGGCCTGTCTCCAAAAAACCAACCAACCAAAAAACAAAAGCACGTGTTCATTACACACACAAAACATGCCCGAGCCTTTTTCCACACAGTGCACACCATGCTTACACGCAGCTGTAAATGTGACTTCACCGAGCAAAGAGAAAGGCAAGAACCTTAGAACTTGCCCTTTCCCCTTCCAGCTTGCCCAACCTGACCCTGGTCCCCTTCCTGGTCTCTTCCCCGCCTCCCTTCAAGCAAACCACGAGGCTGGCATTGTGAGATGACCCGACATCTGGCACTAGCTTCCTGGCTCCAAGTTTGAAGTTCAGGAGTGGGCATGGCCCTCTCTGGCACAGGTTGAGCAGGGCAGGAGGAAGGCCAGTCCACCCCTCACCCGGCTCACACATGGTGCCCACAATTCCACCATACCAGGGGCCTCCCTATGAATTTGCTAGTGGAAAATAACACCTCTGCTCTAAGGAAATAAGAGAACAGTTATGTGGGGCCAAAAATGAGTGACCATGGCTCTGGAACCCAGATGCAGGTTGCCCTGATGATGTGTTCTCCCACAGGAGAAGATATACGAACTTCTATAGCCACAGAACACAACCATAAGGGGCTGGGGATTTAGCTCAGCGGCAAAAGCGCCTGCCTGGCATGCGCAAGGTTGTGAGTTCGGTTCCTGGTACCAGAGAAAAAACAAAAAAACAAACAAACAAAAAAAAAGAACACAGCCATAAATGAATATCAGGCAGGGATATCAGGGATATCAGGCAGGCAGCCTGTGGTAAAGTGGGGAAATCTCTTTACAGGTTTTAGCTGTTGTTTCACAGCCTTCTTAGCTTTAGGATTGGAGGAGTCTAGAGGTCAGCTGAGTTTAGTGATATGTTCCGAGAGTTTCAGCTGATAGGAGGAGGCCAGGTCAGATACAGAGACTGGGGGTGAGTGGCTAGGGATATGCTGTAGTGGTAGAGCGCTTGCCGGGCATGCCCAAGGCCCTGAAGAAGACAAGGCAAGAGGCTAAGCCTCAGATGATTTTGACTTTTTTTGTCTTTTTGAGACAGGGTGTCACTGTGCAGTTCAGGCTGGCCTTGAGCTCACTTTATAGCCCAGGCTGGTCTTGAACTCACAACGATCCTCCTGCCTCAGCCTCCCAAGTGCTGGGATTACAGGTGTGGGCCACCACGCCCAGCATAATTTTTACTCTTGACCTGCAATATTTTGTCTCTCCACAATCACCATGTTCTATCTAGTCGACTGTAGAATCTTAAATAAAGATATGGCCTTTTCTTTCTTCTTTTCCCTCTCTCCTCTCCCTGCCTGCCCCACCCGCCTCAGAGACAAGATCATGCCATGTAGTTCTGGCTGCACTTGAACTCACTATGTAGCCCAGGCTGGCCTCGAACTCATAGTGATCTTTCTGCCTCAGTTTCCTAAGTGCTGTGGTTACAAGTGTGCACCATAATGCCTAACCTCTTTCTCTCTTTCTCTCTCTCTCTCTCTCTCTTTCTCTC